TTAAATAAGAAGTTATGTGGGTTGCCAAAAAGAAATACCAGCTTTATATAGAAAAGTTACCTGAAAGTATACACATGCTGAGAAAGCTGCTTAGGAAAAGCCTACAGCACTAAGGGAACAGCACAGGAATAGGCAGCCTTGAGTTGGAAAATGAAAAAAGGATGTGTTGGATTTTGAGCACAGCACACTCTGCCTCTTTCTGTGTCCACCAACTGCAGCATGAACTGCATTTTATCCAAAAAGAAAATGAGAGGACATAAGTAATTATTTTAAGAAATGAAGACCAAGTCCACGTCATAAAATTGCATTTGGTTAAAAATAGCTACAGTTTAAAATAAAATAGTAACACTCAGAAAATAGTTCTACTACCCATTTATCTAAATGGTGTTGGCAGGAGAGAGACAGAAGACATGGGACAGCAAACCCAGAAATGCTGAACCTGAGCAGCACCTCATCTTTGTATGCATTAACTGCATTTACACATTTACTCATATCCTCTTCTCACGTTTTAGGAAATTTGTTTCTGTAATGAACCAGCTTCTTTCTTCTCACACTGAAGCTTCACTTGGCACCTCTTACTGTGTTTGTACCAAGGTACCATATCTTTCCTCTTAGAAGGGAACACAAGAAAGCAATGCAAACAAAAGATCTTCTACTTAAAGCACAAGAGCTTAAAGAACAGCGAGCAGACCAAAGTGTGCAGTCAGCAAACACCCAAGGCAGGAAGTTCAGGAGGTTTCTCCTCCCTCAAGCCCCTTGGTAAAGGCAGCATTCAGAACAAGGAGCTCACACCTAGCAAGTGATGTGACCAACAGATTAAGGTATTAACCACACAGTTCAAGAAACTGATTACAAACAGGGTTGTGACAGATGACACACCTTCCACCTATTCCAAATATTTAAATAGTTTCCTTACCATTTTTTCCCTGAGAGTTTTTTTTGCCACGACAAATACAGTTTGGGATAGAAAACTGCTCTATTTTTACTCTTAAGTAAGAAAAACCCTGTATTTAGTGCAATTCTGTGTCCCTAGCATGACAATGACATAAATTCCAAGTCTGACTAATTACAGGTTAAGCTCATGACTCTTCTTTTTCCATCCAGCTCAGAGTATTTACCAGTTAGCACAAACAGTATCGCTTTGCCCTTCACAGGAGGAAATTATGTGGTTTCAACTGTTTCCACTTTCTTCATAAAAGGAATAAAAAAAGAAGTATCTGTTTTCTCAGAGCTACTCTACAGCACAGAAGAAAACACAGAAGCAGTAAGTGTCAGTCTACCCTACATAGAGGTTTGAGATAAAAGCCATTTTTGTTAGCACAGATCTTTCATGAACAACAGGCTACTTTAAATTTATACAAAATTATTGCAACAAAATCTTAGTGAAGCCACATTATACCTACAACAGTTGTGGTCAAAAAAATTGGTTTGCTTTTTAAGTTTCTTTCCCCCCTTATCCATGTATGAGGTAACAGACAGAATATCAACTGTCAGAATTATATCTGGTTACACCACCCAACTGCACACGTTATCACACTCTACTCCTCAGCCTGTTTGGATGGGTTACCAAAACAACTAAATAGGATGACTTGGAGTACTTGGGAGAGAGTCCTGGGACTGTAGTGTCATTGACCAGACACTCCTGAACACTCCAGGAAGAACTACAGAATGCTCACAGATAATATTTGAAAATAAGGCAAATAATTCAGGTTTTTTTCAATAGTCTTAGAAGAAAAGAGAGAAATATATGTGCATGTACATATTTTATTGTATTTAAACAGGCCAGATTATAGAACCAAACCTTCCATGACACTCCTTTCAGAGGGCAAAAGAATTTTTCCTATTTTAAATATAATTTCTGATTGTATAGCACCCGTATGTGCACGTAAATTTTGGCTGCAATCCCATTTTAACCAATTCTTGCCTGTTTTTACAGATAGCCAGTAGAAATAGCAAACTAAAAGCAATTTCATTCAAAGCATCTCTAGTAATTTTAAATTAAGTTTTCAATATATCATCTGGCAAGTCTTCCGTAAGATGTACCAAAAATATTTCCAGAACCGGGTTTGATCAACCAAGTTTTAAGCTTGAGGCAACCCTGTGACCAACAAGCACAAATTTCCATGTACGTAGAACAAAAATTTTTCTGCCAGAGACATTCCAAAATTGTCATTTAAATAAGTTTGATATTTGTCTTTTTAAACAGACTTAAACCTAGGAAAGTTTTCACAAGTGAAAAACAATTTTAATGGTAATTCTATAAGGTAATTCATATGCAGGAAAACAGTATTATAAAATAAAACAACAGAACACAAACTTTATACACCAGTGCACATTGAAGACTAACGCAGGCCTTTCACACCTGCCTAAACAGTAACCACAGTGCCATCTGACAAAGTTCATAAGCAAAATTACTTTGCAATTAATCTTACATTCACCAATTCTAACCAGAACTTTATCTCTTCTGTTTGCATTGCTTTGCTTTATGCATCTGTAGTTACATTTCATGCAGCTGAACTTGCTGCTGAGCAGTTATCAGGACTGAATATTTTCCTCCACTAAAGCAGATAAGGGCTGTTTCATGGAAAGATATGAAAGGGAAAAGTTGTTTCAAAGAACAAATTGCATCCTACAGGCTTTTATTATACTCCCAGTAGTGTTAACTGGAATGTGAATAACACTGTAAAATACATCACTTCATTTAATGCATTAAAATGGAGAAGATACTCCTGTAACCCCCAGTTCTGAGCAAGCTTCCAACTCTGCCTCCTTAGTTCCAGGAAAAGGTTCACTATATCAAGATTGGTAGAGTTTATTAATTTTTATAGCTCTCTAATCAAATTGTTCCTTGTGCATCTGCTTGAGATAGATGCACCCAATTTCCTCAGCTGCTGGAAGGACTTCTACGAGACAGTATCTTACACTGCCTATATGGGAAATTCAGTGATTGTTTGATATTGCAAAGCTGCCACAGCTTTTGCTGATACTGTGTTTCCTAACTGCAGATATGAACAGAGGATTTTTTTCCTAAATAAAACAGATTAGCATGTTGAAACACATCGACAGTAAATTGTTATTTAAATTATACACTGGCAGTTAATTTTCCCCAACGTATCTTCAAAGAAGCTTAATTCCCCAAACTAGTGGAAAAGTACTTTGTTTTCCTTACAAATCGAATTTATATATTTTGATATGTCATTTTAATTAATGTTATACTGTAAACTGAAGCAACTAAATTTATATAAAATGTCATGTAGGCATGCAAATTGATTTAGCCCTGACTTGCCCTGACAAAGCTTATAAAAAAAAAAAACCCACCAACCAAGGGATTGAAACAAATCAATTTTATTTGAAAAGTACCAGCAAAGTTTTGTCACTAAAAGCTGTCTGAAAATCTTTTAAAACAGGCAACTCTTTTGACAATTTAGAAGCTCTTCTTGCTCAGCAACTACCAGGTAGAAAAGTACAGATACTCAGTATCATAAAAGCAAAAGTGAAAGAACTGCTGAGTGATTGTGCACCAGCATAAAAGCATTCCTCGTACGAGAAGCAAAATAAGAATCCACTGATTTAGTACTAAAATAGCATTTAGGTAAGAAATACTTTGGTAACAATACTCACACTCTCTGTAGCACTTTCTGTTGGTGTATCTCAACATACTTCAGTGAGGGCAAGATTATCAAATGACTATAAAGATGGGCTAAGTGACAGCTGGAAATTACCCACTGACATCTTGAAAACCTACTGCACAACTGCTGGTTCTGTATTAGAATCTGATCTGAGAAACTGATTCCTCAAAGGTACATGTGCTTATACAAATGCATGGGAAAGCCAGCTGTAGTTACATGTCACCTGGTCCTATGTCACATTCCAGCACCAAAGATGTCCTCTCCCACAGACACAGGAAAAGGGCACAGAACTGTGACACCAACTTTTAGCACTGCAAGTACATTGTAATCCCAGCACAAGTATAGTGCAGTCATAACAAAGAAAGCTGCACATATTTTTAATGCAGTAAATAATTTGCAGACATTTAATAGATTAAAAAAAAGAGAAGTCACATGCACAGCACTTGTGCAGTCAGGACTGAAATCAGGACACGCTACTTCAAAAACCCACAGTTCTCTAGCTACTTAACTAGAGTGTGTTTCCTTTAGCTGATTGCAGTGCACCTTTATCCTCCAAACTCATCTACAAGGAAGAAACACTGCAGAGTGGGAAGATTATATGCTATCCATTTCTCTCCAAGCCAGGCAGTGTTCAAGCAGATGCTCACTGACTATCAACCTCAACAGCCTGAATCCAATCTCTAATTAACCCCATGTGCAGATGAATCACATTCTCACCTGGAGAGCAGGTCCCAGAACATCAATCCTTTCATCTCCTAAAAACACACATTTAGCATTCCAGAGCTAGACTTTCAGGCCAAGGTTCAAACCTCAGCTGCCTGAGCTGAGTTAATAATTTTATCCATTTATCTGCAACACAAGGACTTGTTACCTACTTGAATCCACTCACAGCACACAGATGGCTCATAAGGTTGAAAACTGAAATGACAGATCTGTGCAGCAGATGAAAGCTAAATGTCTGGTGCTGTGGTTAGTCCAAACCAGGCCACCTTTTCCCTAGTCCCTTGTTTAATGCCAGTAATGTTATAATACTTCTTGTCTGCACAGCATGTCACAGCAGCTTCCTCATCAGTCAGACACAGGTCAAAGTCACCATGCTATTCTTTCAGGGCCTCAGCTGTGTTTCCAAACACCAGATTTACTCTACTTATGTGTCAAGGCTAAATAGCAGAGTTCAGTAGAAAACCCTGGACAGGATTTCTTTATTGCTAACATAAACTGTTCCTTAGGCAGAACTGTAATGAATATATTAGCATGTTATTCATTGTTATCAATACATTAGCATGCTATTACCAAATTCTTAAAATTCTTTTACTAAGGAAAAGGGTATTTAGTACAGTGGTGTCTTCTCTTTAATAGATGTATACTTACCCACATAATGCATATTAAGGGCCAAGTACTTGTACTGGAAGAGAGGGTTGTTGTGCAGGCTACTTCTTTGGATCTGCTGGAAGAATGAGCTGACATCCCATCTGTACAAGACATCCAACAGCATGATGCTCGGGACCCTCAGGGCCACGTTTAATACTGCCTCCAACTTCTCCTTTGCAGCCATTCTCCTCCCTTTCTGTGAATTGGCAGCAGACTGTAAATAGAACAAGAGAGAGAAGAGTAATCAGATCAATCCCACTGTACAAACAGCCATTAGGCTTTGTGATAGTATGAATGGGGCTTCCTGTGTGGCCACAAACGACTGAATGAATCAACTGAGTTAAACTCAAATCCAAACAGGACAGCTTCTATTTTTGCTATATAAAGGTCAATTTGCTAGCAGTTTTTCCACAGTGATACCATAAAATGGGGGAGAGGGCAGATTAATGACATGAAAGTGGTCCAAGGGTGTGCACTAAACAAACCTTCGTTCTTATTTGCACTAATGCAGCATCCAAGAGCTCAGCCAAAAGGCCCCAATGTACTCGATACTACATAAACATTATCATGATCAGCACTAAACTGCAAATACTCTGTAAGCTTTAGAAATCAAACACTAACAAAATTCAGACACTATGTCCATTTACTTTAGCACTATTTCTGTGCCTCTGAAATTAAAAAATCACTGATTAAAAGAGTCCTTAAAACATTTTAGATTCATTTCCTCAATGTAAATTGAAATAATTGTCCAATACCTCAGTTTTTAAAAAAATCATTTACAGCCTTCATTAACCTCTATCTGAGGGCTGTGTGTTTGGAGATTAGCACCAATAATGCAACTTTTCTACTCATTTTAATGTAATTCACCACAAGGAATCATACTGTATTCCTCTCACTCCCAAATACTAGAAGGTAATTTAATTTTGGAGTTTGCCATCAGATAAGATGGATGGTGCAAAACAATGAAGGGCACTTTTCTTTTTAAAACAGAAACAAATGCTAGTCCACAACAGCACCTAAAAGTCAACAAAAGAAGAGCAAAAGGATCCATTTCCACATCCTGTCACCTAAGACTAACAACAGTTCCTAAACAAAATATGCTGGTTTTACCATACACCACCTGCCCATCCCAGGAACATGATTCACCCCAGGCTGAGTTTGTGAGCACCAGTAACAGACACAATATTAGAGAAGCACAGCTGAAGTGTTCAAGGCCAAGGTGGGGATGACCCAGCAAGGTTTTATCCGCAAGAAGCCATTCAAAGGAAAATCACCTGCAGCACAATCAACACCCCGATGAGGTTCAGATTTTAAAAAAGGCTCCCAACCTCAATTATTAGGGGGCCAATTGGAAAAAAAGTGCATCCTGACCAAAGAAACAGAAAAATCTGCACTTGAACTGCACTTTAATTTAAATAAAGTTTTACAGGACTTTTTTCACATTGTCCCTGTGTAACCTATAAAAGTTTTTGCAGTTGTGCAAGTTTTACACCTCAACTCAACATGAAGTACAGCAAGAAGTGAAACCATGCAAATATACAGGAACAAAAAAACCAACCCCACTCACACACACACAATCCTCATGTGAGGTTTTATTTGTGTTATCATGTCCTAGGCACTACCACAAACTGCTTATGTGCACACATTCAGCCACATTCACACCTGTCAAGGCACGAGGACATAAAATTAATTCAGCTCAAGAAGTCAGGACAGATCAAAACTGAGATATGGCTCAATAAACCTCAGCTTGCAGGGCTGCTGTTGCCACTGTCTAGCCCTCAGTCTGACTTTTCAAGTTATGTAAATGCTGACACTTTTTACAGAGCTCTTGCAACAGCTCTACAAACCCCAAGGGCAGCACATCCTTCCCCTCACACAGGAAGCGTTTTCCCACTACATGGGGCACCCCACACACCACCAGCATTTCACAATGCTGCTCAAAACATGCTGAAAGGTTTGCCAGAAGACTACAAATATTTAGAATGAACAATCAAAACTATCACCCAAGCAGCTAACTCAGAATCCAAGCATTCAGCATTTCATGCCAATAAAAGATGGGAGTTTAAAGGGATGGTATTGTACAAACAAAATTGGGAGTTACACAGATTATATACAAAGAGTTACAAGAAATATCAGGGCACACAGCTTAAATAATTCATATGAGAATATTTTTAAATCTTGGAATTTTTCAGATTTTCTATTTTGCCAAGCCCGTAAATTTAATTAAAACTTTGCAATTAAGCTGTCTCCTGTTTTTTTGCTGGATTCCTTTTCCAAGTAGATCAGGACAAGGGTGGGCAGGGACTGACTGACAGGTTTTCACTCTGTGACAAAAATACCCATGTAAAGTGACAATAAATACCTGATTCCAAATGACATTCTCAAAACTGTCAAACCTTTTCCAGTCATCAACAACAACCAAACATGTAGGACAAGAAGGAAATTTTCACTTGAGTTTTCACTTTCCTAATTAATCTAAAACCAGAATCCCAAGGACAACTTCTCTTAATACTGAAAGTTAACCGAGGGTTAGCACGTTCAAATTAAGCTGAATAATTCTACCTCCAAAGCTCTTACACACAAACTCGGGGAACTAAAAAGTGCAACATTTACATTATCTAAGAAAACAACCTAAATTTCAAATGCTGTTAAAACAAAAGCAAAACAAACTTTGAAAACCACATCATGTCACAACGGATGGACTGTGAGGGGCAGCCACTGCAGCTCCACAGCATCTTCTGCCACTGACTGACAAACCATCCAATACTAATAAGAAACCCTTTAAAACGAACTCCACTAGAAATGCGGATGTGTTAAATAAAGCCTCAGTTGTAATGGCTGCCAAGTTCTAACAGAATGTAATACAGGCAAGCAACAACATCCATTGCTCTAAGCTCATTATATTGTAAAGAGCTCTCACAATACATTATTTTGATTGGTGTAAAAACAAACAAAAAAACCGACCAAACATTAAACCTCTAAAACCCTCAGATAAATGATGATGACATGAGTTGCTGGATGTTCAGAGGTTAAGAAAAGAAAAATAGGTCACTTGTTGTACAAAGACAAAAAATGGACTTGGAAGCAACTTGTGTTTCAAAATTTTTTTGCCATGATTTCAAACATCTCCTTGTTCCAAATCAGAAGAAAAAGAACAGTCTTACAAAAGATTGTCATGGTTTAACCCCAGCCAGCAGCTAATACCACACTGTCACTCACTCACCATCACCTCTCCCAGTGGGATGGAGAGGCTAATCAGGAAAAAGGGTAAAACCCTTGGATTGAGATGAGAACAGCATAATAATTAAAATAAAATAAAATAATGATGATGGTAACAACTGCAATGAAAGGGAGACAACAAACAAAAACAACCAACCAACCAACCACCAAAACAAACATAAACAAAACTAGATAAACAAACAAAAACACGACTAAAAAAGAGTGGAATAAAGCCCAAGAGAAACAAGTGATGCACAATACCATTGCCCACCACCCACTGACTGATGCCCAGCCTGTCCCTGAGCAGCCATCGGTGGCTCCCAGCCCATTCCCCCCAGTTTATATGCTGGACATGATGTTCTATGGTATGGAATATCCCTTTGGCCATTTCTTCCCAGCTTCTTGCACACCTGGTCACTGTCAGAGCACAGGAAGCTGGAGAGTCCTTGATTTAGAGTAATCACTGCTTGGCACCAACTAAACCATCACTGTGTTATCAATGTAGTTCTCATATTAAATCCAAAGCTCAGCACTGCACCAGCCACTAGGAAGAAACTCAATCACAGCCAAAAACAGGACCAAGAACTTCAGACTTCACACCTTACGTTGTGCTATTTGACCAAAACAAGCTTTTAAAAATTTCTCATCAAAACTGTTTGGTCATTTTTGTTTTCTAACGAGGATTTTTCAGAAGTCCCTCCCTCACCTGACACACCCATTTTGACAAAAGCATATTCCTGGTTAGCTTTAAAGAAAACAGTAGAATTAGCAAAAACCAATTTAAAAAAAAAAAAAAAGGACTATCCTAAGTCTGTCCCAGCTCATTCTATCAGCAGAAGAGATCACCTTGAGTGTGCTCACATGACACGTACCCCCTCAAAGATAACACATATTTTCCCTTTGACAGAATTTTCTTTCTGAAGTTTTGTCATGACATAAAATTTCAGCTGAAGCTGTGAATTCTGCCACTTAAACTAGTGTAACTGTTGTTTCTGCAGCAACATAAATATAAATCTATCACATCACAGGCAGAAAATACACCCTGGTAAAAAGCAGTACACGAGGCCACAGAAAACCTGCATCCATTTATCCAAGCAGGTATAAAATTACATTAACAGAGCAGAGTTTCTGCATTTAGGAAAGCATTAATCATGAAGTTAATTAAGAGTTACAGAAATACGCTGGAATATCTGCAAATTTAAGAGTTATTCTAATACTATTGCCATCAAAAATCACCATAGAAAGAGACAGTAATTCCAGACAAGATCAGAACTTCAAAACCAAACTTGTTCCTGCAACATTCAGCCTCACATCTGTGAACAAGATGCTCATTCTCCTACCATATTACAACCTAAAACACTTGGCAAGATTGGCTAAAACCCAAGAGACAATTTCAGCTTCTGTTTCTCACATCTATGAAATTTTAGTTACTTTGGATATGTCTCTGTTGACAAGCTGACTTTGGTCTGTAGTCTAGTTTCCACTCTGGATTATTTTTCAGTAATACATTCTGGAACCAAAAATATCACCAGGAAAAGCTTTTGTTTTCCTGTCAGGTAAACTTTGCTAGACAGACTTTGAAGAGGAAAAAAAAAATAAACCCAACACAAAATCTACAACTCCTACCTGTAGCTATGGAAGAGTTCAGTGTAAAAGCACAAATACTAAAATTAGACCCACAGTTGAGTGGTACCCATTCACTCCCCAGAACCACTCCTTCTTTATGCTGTCCTGGTCTGGGGAGCAAAAAGAATTTGAAGTTCAGAAAAAAGCCATTCTTCAGAGACATAGATCTTTATGTCATCATTTTGGGAGGGAGAAAAAAAGAGGAGCAAATGGAAGGAACAGGATGAAAAGGTTTGTCAGATATGCACTCAGAAAAGAATTTCCCTGTGTGAGTCTGTAGAAAAAAAACTCCAAACCTAGAACTCAGAGTATGTGAGTCACCAATCCATCAAAAGAGCTGTTTCCCATGCAGACAGAGGCAAAGAAGGAAAAGACGTTTTGCTCCCATACAATTCAAACTGGCTAACAAGGACAGCACTTGAAAATTTCTGCTGAGAAGGCCAGATCCAGTGAGATACCCAGTGTACTAATAAAGCAGTGAAACACCGCAGACGTGCCCAGCAACACTGCCATTGGCAGCCAGTCACCGCTCCCAATAATATTCAGTTCTGGTAGATCACTACAAGAGTTCAGGAATTTCAAATAATAACCAGAGAGTATTTAGCCTTCAATTTAAAGGTTTAGAGAGAGTTGGTCAGCAAACAGACAGCTTGATCTTGCTATGTAAGCAGTTAACAAGAACAAACAAATTTTTTTTTTCTCTTTTTGTTTCCCATCTGGTCTGACAACACAGATTGCTATAGAGCTGCTGCAGTGGTGTAACTGGAGAACTGGTATTTCTACCTAGAAAACACAGTAATTCCTACATTCCTACTCACTCAAGACTCATTCAGTTGTGAACTGGGGCACAGCTAAGGTTAACCATTCCAAACAAATACAGAACATATTTTGCAAAAACCAAATATTACTGCAAAACAAATTAGGTCAACCTCTTATCTGTTCATAGGAACTTCAGTGAACATGCATTCATGTTAAAGGTATACTGAAAAAGGACAAAAACAACTGGAGAAGAGAAGGTTAGCTGCAGAGAATAATAAAATAATCTATATTTCCAACTTTCATTAAATCTAGCAAGTTTCATATGAGCGAGAAGAAAACCAATTCAGGAAAATGAAGATACATATCATAGAGCTGTGAAATTTTCCTCAAAGATTTATTTCTCAAGTACATTTATACACTATGAACAGTTTCAGCCCACTCTCAGTTATACAGCAAATGCATTATATTATTTATGGGCAGCCTGTAAAACATCCTGTGTCTTTTATTTTTCATAATGAGCAGGTAAGACCAGGGAGCTGAACTCGGGGACTAACATGTGTTAACAAAGATTAACAGATCCACCAGTTATGCAGCAAAATCCTTCTGTGGATTCCTACAGGATCCACACTCTGCCTGCATATGTTCAGTTCAAACCCAGTCACACTAAGAGGGGCTGCCTGATTTTAAGATTGTAGTTTAGTTAGGCACCTGAAAGACAGGAGTCTAATTCATTAAAATTAAACTATAATTAATAATATCTTTAATTAAAGTCTTCAGAAGAAAATCTAGATTGAATCAACAAACTAAACTGCTCTGAGGTCCTTCTTGGCTCTTGCCAGTCCAAGGTTTGGTTTATTAACTAGTTATTCAGCATTTTTTTTTTGCCATCACAGCCGTGTTTGCAAGCCCACACCTACCAGCCTGCCTAACCACATTTGTATCAGCACATTCTGAGAAAATCTGGGCAGCAATCCCAAAGCGCCTCTGCAGAGGAGAGAATACCCAGAGGACCTGCACACTGAGCACTAATGACAGCCCGGGATGATGCAGTCTGTGACATCCCACCTCAGAGAGCTGGATCACAGGATAACCAGACACACAAGTAAAGCTGCCATACCCCATCAGCCTCACAAAAAAACCCTGCAACCCAAATGTGTTACCAGGACGAAGTTACACGGCTGGATGAAATATAATTCATCTTCCACAGTTGCTCAGACAGTTTTTAGCCATTTCAGCTACAGACCCAGCCTATGTTTAGAATCTGCAATGCCAATAACTAGTTACCTGACTGATAAGAAGTCAAAACATAAAATAAGACTTTCAAGATTTCTCTAGGTCCACACTGATAAAGTTTCCATTGCTGCTGCTGCCTTATCTGTTTAAGTCATGTAAATAAAGAGCATCAGCTTCCAGGCCTGTGAAATAGGCAGCTTAGCTTCCTGCAGCACCAGGCTCATGTAACAGAAATACCAAACAAATGGTGAAAATATCTAGAAAAGTTCCTTTTAAAACATGTTCAAACTCAAGACATGCAACCAAAGAATTCTTCCAGAGAAACTCCACGAGATTAAGTACCCACTTCTGAGTGTTCCTCCCAAGTACACGACTAATTACAGAGCAGCAGGGCCTCTCTGCAATGAGAGGAGATGCTGTAAGGGCAGGGAAACAGGCTCAGGTGTCTGAATCACACTGAAGGAGCTGGACCTGGATATGCACTTAAAAAGCATAACTATGGTGAACTGTCCAGTCTAACCACATCAAACACTGCCAGGTGCATTTGGAGCTAAAAATGGATTCAGAAGAGTAAACCACCAGCCAGGTTCCAGAGGACGGGAAGAGAAGCCATCTGCACATCTGTGTGAAGAGGAGGAAACCGACCCAAGTTTAGCAAACAGCTCAAAGAATGTTTTTTCGAGTGCAACATGAAACACAAGGCAGGCTTATACAGTTTTCCAGGACACACCCATTCGTTCAGATCTCACTGGCATGATGTGCCTTTCTGCATCTGCACCATGGACTCCAGCTGCTGAACAGGAGTGAGATACTGATCTCTTCCCATCATCTCCAAAGGAAGGAATTCCCCAGTACTTCTTCCAACACCTTGCTCAGTTCATATCTCCATCAGATTCAAGTGGCTCTAACATCAGAAGCTCTTCATAAGACTGATACAAACAAGGTGAATCCTGTGCTTTGGACAAGCAGCAGTTTTATATCACTCTGTAAGATTTCTGATGATCCTTCCACATAATGGTGGTCACAAAGACAACCATTTCCTAACGATAATGAGTTTATGAATTAATTGAATCCTTTAGTGATATTACGACTCAAAAACTAGAGCTGATTACCACAGTTATTAAAGCTAATTAGAAAAAAAAAGATACAGTTTCTCATGCACAGGCAGCTTGTATTTAAGATAACCGGCAAAACTAAGCCAAGGTTACAGATAAACCGAAGTTACCGGATGCAATAGCTTAACAGCTCCCACCTTAACACAGTATTTTTTTAATATTTAAATCTATCTTCACTGACCTACAAACAAAAGTGATCAAAGAGTAATTATTTCCTTCTTCTCCTCCCACATTTGATCTCTACGGACACACTACACAGACAAAAACCCCTAACTGAAATACACGTAAAAGCATCCAAGTCTGAAACACAAGTTAACAGAAACTCTTTTATTAAAAACTGCATAAGAAATGAATAGCGCAACACCTACAGACTTCAAAAAAAAGTATACTGAATGAGATCACAAATGGCTAATATTTCTGAGTCAAACATGTTACACAAATCTCATTTTTCTTTGGTAAATAAGTGGCATCGTATGCCTCCAGTATCTAATATTCTCCCTCGTTTGCTGATACTTGCGTGCATTACACAAAAAAAATTCACATTTTTTTCCACTTTATTCTCCGAACCACGTTATTTATGCACCAGGTCCCACACACACCCCCCCAAAAAGGCAGCACAACCAGAAGATAAGAATCCCTCTAAGAGCTCCATCTGTCACAAGTGTACTTGGTACACGGAACTACTCGAGCACGGAAGAAAAATGAGAATTCTCATCACAAACCTTATTTTAAAAGGCTACAGAAGGTCTCAAAAAACCGACTGACATGACACAAGTAGGGAAGATGGAAAAAGCCCTGTTCTCCACGCCACGGGCAGGCTGCTCCTTACATAAGCATGACCATATGCTCCAGGGCCCGTCTCCAGGAGGGGTGCCCGGCTCCGCTCCGTGTCTCACCCGTGACAGCGCACGGACTGGGGGATGCACAGCCGGCCGAGGGGACCGGAGGGGAAACACAGACCCCACGGAGGGCGGGGAGCACCGGAGCCCCCCGGCCAAGGCAGCACCTCGGTCAGGGCGGCAGGAGCCCGCAGCTCATCCCCGGGGCCCGCACAGGCAGGCAGCGAATCCCGAGACCCTCCCGCCCCCTCCCCAGCCGGAGAGTTCCCTCCTGCCCGGCGCAAACTCCCGCGCTCTCACCGCCGGCGCGCGGGCGGCCCCCGGCGCATCCTCCCCGGCCCCGCTGAACTCCAGTAACCCGGCGGCTCCCGGCGCCGGCGGAGGAGGGGAGGGGAGGGGAAGGGGGGGATGGAGGGCGGGGAGAGGAAAGGGTGGGGGCTGCGCACGGGGAAGGCCGGGGAGCCCCGACACGGGCACGGACAGCGGGGGCGCGGAGGGCCGCGGAGCGGCGGGCGCGCGGCGGGAAATCACCTGAGCCCGCGGGTCGCCGCCGCCTCCTCCTCCTCTTCCACCCCCTCCTCTTGCTCCGCTCCCCGGTGTCTCCGCGCTTCTCACGCCCGACGGCGGCGGCGGCGGCTCGTCGGTGCCCGGCGGCAGAGCGGCTCCTCGAGGCACCATGGCCGCGCCGCGCCGCTCAGGGCGCCGCCGACACCGCGCGCGGCCCCGCGCACGGGCGGCCATGGCCCGCTCGCCTGCGCGCGCGCGCCGCCCCGCTCCGCGCATGCGCGGGCCCCGCCCCACCCGCGGAGCGGCCCCTCCGCCCCCGCCCGGAGCCGGGGACGGGAAGGGGGTTTTGGGTGGAAAGCACCGGGAATTCGGCTGGGGAGGTGACGCTCCCCCCCGGCTAGAGGGGTCTGGCACTAACGCTCTTCGCCCGCCCCCACGAAATAGCAGAAGTTGAGGTTTGGGTTCGGCTTGGGGTCCTCCCGGGACGCGTGGACTCGCCAGGGCAGCGGCGAGTCTGGGAGATGACTCAGAAAAGCCGGTCAGCAAAATTTGAGGTAGTGTCTGGGCAAATGTTTAAAAGGCAGCCCTGCTATTTTAATAATACTCTTTAGTGGCCTTGTGGAACATAAAGTGCTGTATTAATTTCAAGTACTAAAGGCTGACTGTTTTTTTCCAGTGTTGCACTGCAGAATCTCCAGTCATCTTCGTTGTGAGATCAACCAGAAAAAACACCAGAATTTCTGTATTACTGCACTGTCATTTTTCAGCTGGAGACCTGAGCCAGAGGCAGCTCCCTCAGCCCAGTTCATGCTTCAGAGCCTTTGCATGAAAAGTCTCACCAGTATTTACTCATCCTGTAAAGGTTGCGTGGCCAGGCCCTAGCACACATTCCTAAGTGGTATGGAAAAAATTATGATCCAAGAGAAGTAATGTTTTTTACCTTAATATTTGAAAAAAAAATACAAAGCCACATTGTCTGGAACATGAAAAAAAACTTTGCTGCAGTGAGGAATGAGGGAATACACTGAACTGGAAAATCCTGTAGTTCACTAGGGTTGGGCTAGCCAACTTAATAATTGCTTTTTTCCTTCCATCTCTAATGAGAACTGGAGCATTCACAGACATGGGTATTAACAGTGCATGGCTTTAACGCAGTGTCTAACTCTGTGAAGCAGAGGTATTAAAATAAGAGGTTTGGGTGTCTTACTGGCATTCTGCTTTGCAACATTACCCTTGTCTGAGTACCCAAAGGTTTTTAAGCCAACAGAAGGGTAGTTTGAACGTGTCTGTGGTGGGGCTCTGCTCTGCTGCATCATCAGCTGGTTGCAGTTGGTGTTCACACTGGGCCAGTCTCCTAAACTCCAGTCAGTCCACAATGCAGAAGGAAGGAGACCAAATGGCACAACTGACAGGGGTGTCCCAGACCTTTGCAGGTACCACAGAGGAGCTAAGCACAATTTTTCACAAGCTTCAGATTTTAATGCTATTTGAAAAAATAACAGGCTTTTTATTGAAAAATTTTTAGTTTGAAGCAAACAGTCCATGCAAGGATTCCTAAACTCAGTAATTCTTCTCTTTAGAAAGAACCAACTTGCATGTCCAGCCAAACTAAGGACATGCACATGTGATTGTTACTCATAAGCACTCCATGCTCTGGTCAGGCTTAGGAGGTTCACAGAGCCCCTTGTGCAGAGGGCTTCTCTGATCTGCTCAGTGTCTCCTCTCAGCAGTTGGGTTTCCTCCTTTGTCACTTAACAGGTCCCTGCATGACAAATGTTTGCAGCTCTTGTTTTATGTATCTTGTTAATAATCATGCCACTATCAGTCAATCCTGTTGTACCTGGGGTAAACACACTGCTCCAAACCCTGGACTTTGCTTCACCAGTCTCCAGCCACCCTGTTTTTCTGCCTGGCTCAGCCCACTCACCACTGTGCCCTTGTTCAACACTTGCCAGTACCTCACTCCTTATCACAAGGAGTATGAATCAGTGTCATATAAGGCATAAGAATTTCGGCCTCATTTCTAGGGGCTGCTTGTCTACTCATGCCCTACATGGAAAAAATTCATGAGTCACTTCTTTTCTGTTCTTTGTGGGCTCAGTTCAACGCTGACTGAGGTTATGGGGATGGTGCAGGATCTCCAAGTCCTACCTCTCTGCAAAGCTGCACGGGAGACAAAAAGACAGCAAGCAGCAGAGAGACAAATATATATTCACAACTATAGACAGTAACAGGTATTTACAGGAGTTGAACTGGAAGTATCTCTTATTATTTTAGAAGTAATTATATCATGAAAGTATTGTAGCAAATCCCCAAAGTTCTTGCTTCAATTTGCAAGCAAACAATAGGAACTGAACCCCACCTTTATTTCATTCTGTCATCTCTCAGCATATAATTCTGTAAATGTGTTACTTCACAAAAGCAAAGGCTTTGTAATGAGCAGATCAGGTATATGCCATTACCACTGTTTTGTCAGACATGGCTTTTTTAAAGCACCTCAACTTTCTGCTTCGTTTCTCTGGAATTTTAAAAGCCTTTCCTGCATTTTACACTGGGTGGCTGAGAATTCTGAACTCAATGACTGTTCATCTCTCATTATTAAGAGGCCTTTGGATTCCAGAATTTCAGTGATCAGCAACTGAAGACAGAAGGGCACCACTATGGTGACATCTCATTAAAACTTTGAAAAGACCTTCTCAGAGTTCAGATAATGTGGAAGCTTGATTTGTCCATGCAGATGGACAAATGCCAGCACCCCAAACTGCTTACAAAGAAAATCCCTCATAAGAGCAGCAAAATATGCTGACATTGCATGCATAAGGTGGACAATAACATGGGCAGTTTTATTTAAAGCTTTTTACAAGCCATTGTTTCAGAAAATACTCATACTCATACATACATATGCAATAGCAAAGGAATGTCTTAACAAGTAGGTTATATTGCATAAAGTCAGACAAAAGTTAAATAATGCGAAAATTAAGATTGCCTGTGAAACCTAATTTGGTGCCTCGTGTGTAATACTGATGGCAGCCAGCCCCCAAAGCCTTTCCATTCTCTTCTTGCAATTTTATCCCATTCACTAAACAAAGGAATGAATAAATTTTAATTAAACTTTAATTCAGGCAGAAACACATACCCGGGCACAGAAATTGGGAGCATTACTGGGTGCCACAATATCAACAGAGCCAGTGCATCTCCCTCTGATTTACCTACTCTCTCTCTGTACCCCCATCTCAAAAATTCCCCTGCTTTTCATTATCTGTGACCCTATTCCCTAAATTTCTGCCCATCCCTTAGCTTCTCATCAACCCTTATTCTTCCTCTCACTGCTTTTCAGAGCTCTTTCTAGAATTCAGCCAGTCACAGTTTCTCAATTTCCTATTTGTTTTCACTCTCTTCAAGAAACCACTTTTGCAGTATCTTTGATAATTAAATCTCTCCTATGATTACATATATTTTTACCACTTTCATAATGCTGGAGAGTGCTGACTCCAAATAAACAGCTGCTGTGATTTTCAGTGTACCTAAAGGAAAGCCATAGCAATCTCTGTGTTGAAAAGCTGGAGAGCTGGGTGGTGATGTAAGGAAAGGGATGAATCAGGTTTTGTTCAGCGAACAAAAGCATCCCAGTTCTTTCCCAAGATCCCTTGCCAGTGGGGCATAATCTAGAATACAAAGAATCGAAGTAAATAAAATAAAAATCATTGGGCTGAATAGTGGCAGAAGAATAACAGTTGCATTCAGAAAGTGGAAAATCATATGGTACACGGGTACAAGCCTCTAGTATTTACAGCATCTCACAGTGCCAACATTAACTAAATAATCCTGAAAAAAATCCTGTAAGGAAACTACATAAATATTATTCTAACCTCCCCTTTATTGATAAAGAAGCAGAGACAGAGACTTACTGTATTAGTGATAACCTGGAAGAGTGTTTAATTTCAAACCTGAGACATTTCCAAGTCTCTAGCTGAGCTGCCAGCTCCTAAAGCATTACTGAACACTGGGAATGCAGCACTCAGTGTTGTGCCTGGAGTCACAGTGACTCAGAATCACAGGGAGCATTCAAATGCTGCATTTCTGGGGCACAGTGATGGCAGTGTCCAGCACACCCCGCTGGCTGCTCTGCTGCAGTCAAGTGGTGATAAGCAGGGCAGGAGACTTGCACACATGGCTGAGTCAGGCTGGAACACTGGGATGGGATTAGACTTCCGGAGTATGACACTCTCAGACATCACTGCTTCTAGCACCTGCTTAGAACTAACTATGTAACAGAGAAAGGGGACAGAAAAAAGCAATAAAGTATTGTAGGAAACTGTAAAAAGAGGTGTGAGAGGAAACCAAAGAGCATAAAACATATTAAGAGTAAAATACACTGCTACCAAGGTATTTTAAGGATTCTTCTGTTCTTAGTGCAGAATATGGGCTCTGTTCTAGATTTTTTCCTAATGTGGGTTCGATTTATAAGTGGGGTAGAGAGGCTGATGCATATTCAAGTGAGCTTTCTGAACTAAAAGAAATCTGGAAAAAAAAAAAAACCAAAACTTTTAAGACCTTGAAATCTGTCTGTTGGTCCCTTCTTAGTCTGCAGCACATTAATATCTGCACTGACTCTCCCCATTAAAGTCACTGAATAGAGAAATATTTAGCATCTCTCAGGCCTGCAACATCATCACCTTTTGCTTTCTGACTCCTTAGATCACAGAGACGTGATCTAATCTCTTAATTCCCAAAGCAACCTTTGGAGCTTTCCACACAGTTTTCCGCTTTAAATTTTCAAGGATTCTTACCTAGCTTCCCCCTGAGTTACCTGTGGGAATTTTTTCTCTCTTACATGCAGCATGAACAGCAATTTAGGAGAAGAGCTCCTGGGCTTCAGTAGTTATGCACAGAAGTGCATTGCTCAAAACGCTCAGAAATGCGTGATGTGAACCTGAGGCACGGGAAGGGAGCCAGGAGGCATCAATCTGACATGCAGTCACTTCTTTTATTTCACCCTAGAGCATCCCAGGACGTAGCAGTGCACATCAAGGTGAAAGGGAACGTGCATGTGCTTTAGAATTTCCACA